CCCCCCTTGACTCGAAAGCTGGATCCGCCCCTGATTCGGGCCCCTTTGGATGGGCGCACAATTCCTCTTGTTGAAAAAAAAACATAATCAAAGGCCCAACTGTTTCTGTTGATTGCTAACTTTCAACTCAAAATAATCGCAAAGTTTCCCCTAACTTCACTTATTCTGCGCAATTTTTGCGTCCAATGTTCAAATTCAGTTTTAAAACAGGGCAAGGAGTATGGCAGCAGTGCCGACCCGACGTCCAGAGCTGTGTCGATGTGAACGGGGAAAAATGCCCTTTAAGTGAAGAGCGTTGTTTCAAGTATCGGTAAAAATTGAATGCACGGTCAAGCCGCAATTGATTCTGGAATTTCTGGAATAGTTGCTGAAAGCCGTTAACTTTTTAACCTTTTGCTCCTTTTGCGCTCCTAGTGCTCTCGGTTACTGCCTGAGCCTCCAGCTCGCTGACTCCGGCCAAAACCTCACAGGATATTCAAAATCTCTCTAATTTTCTGGAAAAACCCCCATTTGCTCCAACGGGCCCATTCGCTACAGAATTGGCATAATTCCCCGAACCCCAATCAATAATTGATTCCGGTAAGGATCATCCGCGTCTTGCCGTAAATACTGGATGAAAGTAACCTTATTTACAGGTGGCCATAAAACAGTTTGCCAATGTGGAAGGGGGTTGGTTTTATGGCCGTTAAGAGGGCGCGTGCTGGCCGCCCATAAAACCTTCGTTGCATTTCATAACTTGATGAGAAAAAAATCCAGAGTTTTGTCAAACTGGAACCAATCAAATGCAGAGCGGTCACCTCTGGCTTCATCCATCACCGTGCGACTCTTGACCCGACCGCTCAATCAATCACTTCCACTTTTCATTTTTTCAGCCTTCGCTATTTTCTTACTTTGTCCCGATAAAAAATTCGACATGGAAATTGGTTTCCCTGATAAATAGCTCGGGTCTTGTCAATCCGGATTTGAATACATTGGCTCTGGTAGTAAGTAGTAGGCCCAGGCAATTAGGAAACTGGGCGCTTTCGGCCTTCCGACTGTCTGTCTGTCGGCAAAAATTCCGCTGCTGGACAGTGACAAAGTGGGCTGAAAAATCGCTGGCAGCTCAAAACAATTCAGTAATTTGGCATTAGGGGTTGGAAAAATGCTCAGAAAACTGGACAATGTCGGTTTAACTGGCGCTTACGGGTCCAGAAGTGGAAAATAGTTGCATCCAGAGCACGTGTTACGGCTGTTTATGCCGCCGTTATTCCGAGGGAAGGCGCTGGATAATGCAACGATAAGCCCTGGTAGTGGGATGGCAATCGTTGTTTAAGAATAGTGTTCCAAGCTGCTCATATTCCACCCTTGCAAACAGAGTGGACTGAGGAATGAAGAAAATGTCCCCATCTGATTACGGAAAACCACCTAAGTTTATGTCGCGTTAGTGAGGTCCACAATAGTTAGAGTTTAGCCGTGCTTGGGAAACGCCAGGAACAAATTCTCTTGGGCTTTGAGGCAATTGTAAAAAAAAAATCCTCGGTCAATCGTCCTCACAAACTCATTTCAGCCATCTAGTAAGGTTTCAAGACACGTATTAAAAACTATTCCGTTTTGAATAGAACTGCTCTTTTTCCCCAACCGGCGACAAGACTGTGCGTCACTCACAAACCTCCTATACTCAAAGCCCACCTCTTTCGAATATCTAACTAGAATTAGTCCTGGTGGTTTGGCCTCACTGGTCAACATTTTTCAGAATAAATTGACCACAGCCAAGTCTACTTTTCACGTTTTCATGCCCTTTAAATGAATGGAAAGAAGTTGTTGTGGCGAACAGTGCCAAGTGCTGAAACCGCAATCTATCTTATCTAGGAGGCAATTGGACCATAACCATAGAAATATCGCATAAATTAGCCATAAAAATGCCTCTCAAAGCAAAAACCACGATAAAAGTCCGCCATAGAGTTTTTTGCGCTATTTATATAACATGCTGAAAAGTTGAGGGGGATCTTGATAACGCTCGAGCGTTATGCGGACCATTTGTTCCATTTATTCGCCAGTATTTCATTGGAATTTCCATAAACGCCACGCACCCCAGACTTATTCCGATATTAAATTGGGCTGTTTTCTCTTCGGATATTCCAGGCCTAGAATTCGAAATCTCACAAGAAACGAACTGTTTTGATTCGTTTGGAATGTTCACTTTCGATCGCCAAAGTCGCAACAAGCGATGAAAGTTGATAGACGATTTAAGCGGCAGACAGGCAAGCATATAAAAAATTCATGACCCAATTAAATAAAGTAGATAAAGTCGGCAATTTTTGATGTATTGGGGTGGCCGCGATCGGATTTCGAGCTTTGGAGGGCTCGATAAAACAAAGAATGTTGCCAGCGCGTACTAAAGGCGCAACCCATTTGCTGCTTGTCAGGAAACAAAATTAATTCGTCACAATAATGAACTGCCTAGTTCAGCAGGAAGAGCGGCTGGTTTCTAATAAGGGAAGACAAAAATTAATGGTATGCGTATTTCCATTATCCATTGCGAATCCGTCTTGAAGAGACCGGGATACATTTGGATATCGC